CAACCTCCTTGCTGGGTTAACTGAAGATGCAACCAGCGAGGTTAGAGATGATGTTGAAATGGAAGACAGTATCACGCTGCCGGCACAGAAAAGGAGGCAGGGCAAGAGAGTCACAGTTGAACCATCCACGAGGACGACCCAGAGTAAGTTGCAAATGCCAGTAGACAGTACACCTAGAGTAACCAGAGCACGGGGACACACTTAATGTAGATATATCTTCCTGCCCTCATGTGTAATGTCATATGTGCTATTGTGTATATGTCAAAGTACTAACCACCTAATCTTAAATCCCAAATCCCAAATCTCGAGTACCAAGGCCCGAGTACCGAACCCCGAGTACCGAACCCCGAGTACCGAACCCCGAGCACCGAGCACCGAGCACCGAGCACCGAGCACCGAGCACCGAGCACCGAGCACCGAGCACCGAGCACCGAGTACCAAGTACCAAGTACCGAGCACAGAAAACTGGGCAGCGAGGACTGAGTAGGTGGAGTATACAAGTATCAAGGACTAAGTACTAAGTAGGTAAAGTATACAAGTACCAAGTACTAAGTACTGAGCAGGTAAAGTATACTGCACCGAACCCCGAGCACCGAGCACCGAGCACCAGGCACCGAGCACCGAGCACCGAGCACCGAGTACCGAGTACCGAGTACCGAGTACCGAGCACAGACAACCGGGCAGCGAGTACTGAGTAGGTAGAGTATACAAGTACCAAGGACTAAGTACTGAGTAGGTAAAGTATACTGCAATGTGTCTACTATCAGACATTGATCAATATTTACATGTTACTTGAGTCCTCAAAGAACTCAATGAGGGTATCTAATACCTTCAGCATTTCGGAGGTTGACTCCCTTACCCTTTGCATCCTCCGGAGGTCCGCATCTGCTTTCCGCAGTTTGTCGCATGTTTCAGCCCATGCCATCCTGAATGGTCTGTCAGCCTCAAGAAGTTGTGCTACTGTAGGGGCAGGAAGATTTCCATGACGCTGTTGGTAATCACCCAGGCGATCTACAATTGTTTGAACTTGCAGAACATTAGCAGAGATAAATAATCAACTGTTGTATACATACTTTCAGCTTGATCATAAGATCCGATTGGCATGAACTCCTGAACCATGGCACGCAGTGCTTCATTGTTGAGTTCTGGCTCGGGCGATTGACGTTCGGGAGTTTCTGAATTAGCTTGGGAGATAACATGAATAAAAAACATGAAATGATATGAATATGCCTACAAGGTATGGGTGCCTCTGGTTCAGCCGGAGTAACCGGATGAGGTTCGGGAGTCGATTCATTCACTGGGGAAATGCCATGGAAAATGAACATGAGATGAAAAGAATAACCTCACCAGCCATAGGAAAATCGGGTACAGCCGGAGCATCATCAGACGAAATCAAGGTATCCTCCAGACCAAGATACAAGTCCGGGTCATCATACAGGGCCAGTCCATCCACCAGGGCTGGATATGATGGATCTGGAAGTATGTGATGAATTTGCACATGTAGACTATGTACATTTGAATTGAGAAACATACCGGGAATCACATTCAACAGATCCAAACCACCGGACGACCCAGAATCAGAGTCTAACTCATCATCCGGCCCAAGGTATATATCATCTAATGGATCTAAACCATGTCAGATCAATTCACTGAAATCAGCAAAAAAAAACATACCAAGGGACATCCGGGACTTGGAGGACTCATCCACATCCATTGAGGTGGATTCAGTGACCAGAGGGTCATGAAATCTGACCCCAGGTTGAGAGCTCATGATTTCTGATGAGCTGATGAACTTATGAACTGATTGATAACAGATAACGTCGAAGTTCAACACATGGCCGGCGATTGCCGAAAGTTGAACCATGACCAAACAAAGACAAACAATCAACAATTTTCAACATCGTCCTTCAATTGTATTGTTTCTTTGAAACTTCATTCTAGTGATAACAGATTTCACCCTGCTTTCAACATTCTCACATCTGTCAACTCAATCCAAATGTCTACTCCAGTTCAATCTTCATTGGCCGACCTCAAGGCATCCACTGCTCAACTTGTAGGCATCATTGCCGGCGCTCGGCACATCCTGGCCGGCTCAGTGGACGTCCAACTTGCTCTGACAAAGCAGGTCACCACTCTTTTGGTAAGTTGCACTCATTAAATTAGTTTACCATTGATGTTTCTAATATCCGGGTAGGCTGACATCATCTGGGCCCATGAGAAAGGGGAATACATCCCTGGCATTGTGGCGTCCTGCTCTAAGAAGCTGATGAGGGTGCGTTCCATGACTCCCCGGGCATTGCCCAACTGGCACGGCATTGGCCATGATGACCCCCGGGTGGCTAGACACGCCTGGCGCAAGCAAGTCCGTGCCTGGGAGGCGTTGGGTGACAATTCCTGTGATCTCCCTGTTGTTCCTAATCCTTCCACTGGCCCACTGACTGTCAACCTTCCGTCTCCACCTGTCCCTTCCCCCACACCTATTCCTTCCCCCGCCCCTGTCATTCCCTTCCCCCACACCTATTCCTTCCCCCGCCCCTGTCATTCCCTCCCCTCCCGTCGTCGCCGGACCTTCCAGCAAGACGGGTACCGAGTTCCAGGACAAAGGAAAAGGTAAGGCCATTTCTGTTGACCTGGAGCCGGAAGTCGGAGGGAGCAACAAGAGGAAGTCCCCGATGATTTCTGGACACTCCTCCCAACCTCCAAAGTCAGCGATGAAGGGTCGCAAGTGTGTCAAGTCAACTCGACTCCCCAAGTCAAAGCCATTTGTGGAGTTGGAAGATGATGAAGACCCAATTGTTCAGGTATGTGTTCTGGCTCATTTGTGACATGCTCTCAATTTGTTGCAGCCGATTTTGTGTAGAGTGCCAGAGGTCGTTCTTCCCCAGCTCTCCACCATTGTTGTAAGGACACCCCAGTTGCCTCGGTCACCTGGTTCCCCCAAGAAGCAATCATTTGGGCCTGCTTCGGTAAGTCTGATTTAGTCGTCCGGAACTCATATATATGCTCATGTGTCCACAGCTGACTGCTGGCAGTCGTCTGGAGGTCATGGTGAGTCGTTTGGACTTGTCCGGAACTCACATGTATCGTTTTCACTCATGCCCATTGCATTAGAAATCTCCCATCAGTTGTCCGGAGGCTCGGGTAAGTCTTACAAGCTCGCCCGGAACTCACATGCTCACTTACAATCTATCAGGCAACCTCCAGCAGTCGTCCGGAAGTTGAGGAGTCCTCTGATGATACATCCAGCGCTTCGGATGGTGACCCCCCGGCCAATACCACATTTGATATCACCATTCCCGGCCCGGTGAGTACTCCAATTAATTCCCCTAGTCCATCTACTAATGGATACCACAGAACAACCCCTGCCATTATTGCGTCAAGGAGGATTGGCCCTGCGCGACCCATTTTGACAAGAGGACCAGCCTCCCCTGCTTGTCTTGCATCCGCTGCTCCACCAAGAAGATCAAATGCAACCCTGCATCTCTGGGATCCCCGCCCAAATGGACCCGAGGGAAGTCTACCACTGGCCGGACGCGTTCCAAGACATCTGCCCCTGCTCCATCCACTGCTCCGTCTCCCTCCCTGTCAAGGGCCCAAACTCATAGTCAATCTCATGGCCCGTCCCGAACTCCGGCCATCCCTGCTGCAACTACACCCCAGGTGCAGTCACGTGGTCGCAGCAAGACCATCACTACCAAGAAGACACCTGCACCTGCACCTGCACCTGCGCCAGCTCGTAAGTCACCCAAACTTTTGATGACCTGCTGACCTGATTTTTTACTTAGCTGTTCGGTCTTCGAGCTTCGCAGTGCCTCGTGCAGCACTCGATGTTCCCATGCTGGATCTCCATTCCATGGCAATCGCGATTCGGGATGGTGCAGCTCGCATCGCTATTCTTGAGGCTCGGGTGTAGGAGCAGGATGCTAAGATTGATACCCTGCAACACCTCCATGAGAGCCTCCAGCGCACAGTGGTCGACCAGCACCCTTCATTTTCACTTCCGGACACACCGGCCAATGCAACAATCTTGCTTGATCAATCCGGTCCCCACCCGTCCATTTCACCCCTCCCCTCCGCACTTTCCAACCTCATTGATTTGGACATTTCAGTGATGCAACCCACACCCTTGACGGTTGAGGATGGATCTGCTATGGTAGGTCTCATGGTTGAGCCCACCCAAGTTCAGCCTGAGGGTCCACGATCCTCCGGCGAAATTGTGCTCCCAGATGAACCAGGCAACCTCTTGCCAGAATCCTCTGGCAATATTGTGGTCCCTAATGAACCAGGTAACCTCCTGCCAGAATATGATTCTTCTGATGAGGAGTTGGATGTTGAGGGGAAGGTTGATCTTCCTGGTGAGGAGGTTGAAATGGCTACATAATTGCTCAGTGATAGATGTACATAAATCTTTTTCAATGCATGTTACCTATGCCACAATTGAATAATTTCATGATCAGTCCCGATATCCAGAACTCGAAACTGTAGATTGAGGTAGATATCACCCTAAACCCTAACACCCGAATGTCAAATTTTCAGTGCTGAACCCCAAGTGCTGGGTGCCGGGTGCCGAGTCCCGAAACCCGGAACTCAGGATTTGCCATTTGAGACTAACGTCATTTTTCAGACATGTTTATATCAACCTACGTATATCTATAAACATTTTACTAACCCCCAAACCCCAACATATATTTTTGTTGTGTCATACTGAGTTCCGGGACCCCCGAACCCCGAAACCCGGCAGTCCACAATTTCAGGGTTCGGGGGTTGGTAAATCTTGGTTTGGGGTTTTGCACTGAAAATTTGACATTTATATTTTTGTGAGTGTTGTGCTTCTGGTGTCCGTGCTTAGAAATAGGATATGTTGCACACCAGGGTTCAGGTGTGGGGTTTTTCCACTTCAGTCCTCAATTATTGGTCAATGCCACACATGGTCAATTCATGTTTTCGTGCTTAGGGGTTTAGATTCGGTGGTCGATGGTAGGTATATGCACTCATAGTGTACATGTATCCTACGTGTTTGATTGCTGGTGGCTACATCAGCTGTATGTCTTGATGAAACGTATCTAGGCTCACCCATATATGTACCCATCTATGTACAATTCCCCCACGTCAGCCCACCCATCTATGTATTATCCCTCACGTCGGCCCACCCGTCTATGTAATACATCCTATGTTGGCCCACCCGTCTATATAATACATCCTATGTCGGCCCACCTGTCTATATAATTATACCCCACCTCGGCCTACCTGTCTATGTAATAGATATTTTATCACACCCTCGGCCCACCCGTCTATTTGATATCCCTTTTGTCGGCTTACCCGTATATGTAATACTTTCCACGTCGGCCCACCTGTATATGTAATACACCCCACGTCAGCCCACCCATCTATGTAATATTCCCCTACCTCGGCCCACCCATATATGTAATACACCCCCGTCAGCCCGCCCATCTATATAACAATATTTGCCTTACATCTCTCTTCAGCCCAGCTGTCTATAATATCCTACTCTACATATTACCCAGATGGGCCCACCCATCTCCATGAATGATCATATTCCCCCGGCCCATCCGTCAACATCAAGGATATATATATCATTGGCATACATGGGCCCACCCGTCTCCATCGGAAATAATATGTGTCCCGGCCCATCCGTCATCATCGAGAATATACACAACATGGGCCCATAATCCGCTGGCCCATCTCATACGGGATATTATGTAGGTCGGGTGGCCCGTATAATACGGAATTTGTCACTGAAGGGGCTCATCATCTGTGAGCCTTGGATGAACACGGCATGGCGACGTCCTCGTCAAACTAGACAGCTCAACCTATATCTTCCTGCCCCGCCTCCCGTGTTGGTGCTGCCCGGATGCCAATGCCTCATGCAGCAAAATTTCCACCGTTCACCGTCTGTGTCCAGAACATCAGCACCACAAGAAAATACCATGGATGAAGGTCTCTTCAGTGACTCCCTACATTTCTCCAACGGTCCTATCACTCGTCATCTCACCAGCTCGTAAAAAAGGGCCAACCAGTGGCGCAGATGGTTGCAAGATGTCATTCCTTCCCTTCTTATACCATACCTATCCTACATTCAGCTAACTTCAGCGCTACGTTATACAAACGCACCAGGACAACCTCAGCAAGATCTTGGAGTTTGTAGAGCTGGATGTAGGACTCGGAGCATTACAGTTGCATGTGTGCACTTCGACGGTATGTTATTTGTCACTCTTCTACCAAATCTATCTCATGTACACTCCAGTATTGAAAGAAATCAACATCATCGCATGCCCTTGTTTCCCTGCCCCCCTCCAGCTCCTCTGTCACGGTCTGTTTCCATGTGCTCCTGTTGCTCCCTCACTCGCAGTGGACTTACGTGTTTTAGAGTTCGTCCATCTGCTCTTTGTACATCAGTCTCCCAACCAAACCGCGTGGTGCGATGCGGTGGAAACTTTTTTAGATGGAATGGGATACAAGTTGTCATGCAAGGTTAGCTTTTCAAATTCTCATGCATGCAGTGATGCTTAGTCTTTGATCAGAATAACTTATGGCTCGCAATCACATTTCCACTCTCATCACTGACGTTCAAAAGGGCCAGGCACGTCTCCCACCAATCGATAAGTCCAGTGAATACCTTCATTCTCGTTGTCTGCTTTGTTTCGGAGGAAATACTTACCACGGATCAGATTCTCATTCTATGTAAGTCTGTCTCAGCTCGTACTGTACTGTGATTAATTGGTGACACCAGCCCAGATGTTATCATTTGAATAGATGCTTGTTTTACCCAAAAACGTTCGACTAATCCTCATGGTGCTGACACTATCGACCCTCCTAATCCAACTCCAATGTTCTTTCTATCGAACGACGATGTCAAAGCGATGGAGGATTTCATACAGAGTTGTCGCGGAGAGAGATGTTGAGTATGGGTCTCTAGAGCGGAAGGTGACAAGGATCACTATGAAGAAGGGATGCATGTGCCAGTATCTGTGTTGAATGGATGCGGAGAATCCTTTGTAGCTGCAGATGAAAAGCGTGAAAAGGCAAGTACTCATTTTTTTACCGACACAGGCCTGATGGCCCTGCTATGTAGACATGACTGTGTCCTCTGGCTTGCCAACCTCACATCAGTGGGAGAAAAGCAACACTATGCGCTCGCTCTCTTGGACTGCTTGTTCAAGCATTTGCCCCCTCAAATGACTATAGGACTTCTCTACGACATCGCATGTCAACTCGAACAAAGTTGCCGAAAGTGGAAACTCCTGGACGACAACACTCTATCATGCATATCCTTTGCTGTTGCGGTATTCCATGTGTATGGCCACCAATGGCCCTGTCAAATTGTCTATCACCCGAGGAAGCGCGAGGGTTTTGGGCTGTCTGACGGTGAGGGTTGCGAACGACTGTGGAGTTCACTTAAGCAACTCATCCCATCGTTACAGGTTTCTGGAGTAAGTTTACATTCACATAATATATATCACATTTCTAACTCTACTGTAGTTCTATCAACATCTTTTTGTCCTCGATGTTCAGATTCGCCACCTGGACACAAAATCCATCCAAGGCTATGGGCATTGGCTTCACCGGCGATGGATCCATTGCCAGATAAAGAAGAACGCGGCTCTGGACAGTTTACTTGACTTAGACATCGATGAGGATATGCTTCGTGCTGAGTGGAAGGCACAAATTGCTCACCAGACATGACCCACCCCACGTAAGATTTTAAGTAGTGCTCTCACTGCCTTACTAATTATATTGTGTAGGGCAATCCAAGAACAAAGTGGCGGAGGTCATTACAACTATCCTTGCGCTGGAGAAGACCCTGGATGCTTACAGGACTTCTGTCCGTGAGCTAGAGATGCAGCTTCATGTAGGCAGTGTTTCTAATATTGCGGAGCTTAATTTGCAGCTCTCCGGCGCTCGGTCACGACGTGCCAAAACCGCTGATACCCTTCGACGTCGTAAAGCTGCTCTTGGAACGCATGCAAAGGCCGATCTTGAGAAGATGAAGAACGATACTTATCTGACAGTCCACTTGAATGCTCGTGCAGTGAAAATTCGTATTCGGGACCGTCTCTGTCAACGCAAGTTTGAATTAGAGAGGCTGGAGAGATTGTATCGAGCTACAGTTAATGGTACATTAATGCTATTCAACTTCACTTTCAGCATGTCTCATGTATTTTTAGCGGAACACAAGATTCGCGCAAGCACCCAGTACTCTATTAAACGCCGAGAACCCGGGGTTCTCAAATTGGTCTCCACTTACAATGACCTATGTGCTCAGTTGCGGTCTCTGATACGCCAGCAGAGAGCTCCCCCTTCTGCTGTTCCACCTCGCCCTATTATACACGAGGGCATCTTTCTACTTGACGTCGACAATGAGATTTGGCAAGATATTGGCCTGGACGAAGACGGTATAAACCCACCGGCATGGTTATCGGATAAGGCCACCAGGTCTGGTATCCATTTACAGCTTGAAGTGGATCGGTGCGTCGAAGAAGAAACTCATTTGATGCGAGAGCGGACCGTCATGCAGGAGTGGATGTTTGCAGAGTGGGAGGCCATACAAACTTTGTTGAGGGATGCGGGTGAGTCTAGTCTCAGTATACAGTGAATCGCACTTAATTTGTCGGCAGTTGATGATCTTGTAGTGTCATTCCACATGCGGGCCCACGCAGACGAACTTCTTCACATTTGTGTCATCTGGAAGAAGAAAGTTCAAGAGATCCCTTGCACGTGGCCAGTTGAGAGTTGGGGTCCTCAAAATGAAGATATACTTCGAGCTGCTCGAGACCAGGTGCAGCCGTCTTTTTTCCAGTATGAGGATGATGACGACAAGAGTTTTGGAGAGCAGGAAGAGAGTGACGAGGATGGCGATCTGGCTTATTATGAGGTTGGAGATGATGAATATAGTCATTTCCCATTCACCATGGTCCCTCCCACATGTCTCTGTGGTCCTTCCTCCAGTCACTTTTTAATGGTTTCAATGTATATTCTATGTCCTTGTGTTTGATGCTCAATACCTGACAGGCATATTAGCTTTCTCCCGGTGACTCTCTTAATGGTTTCAATGTATATTCTATGTCTTTGTGTTTGATACCTCACAAGCATATTGGCTTGATCTCACTATCTCACCCTCACAGCTCTACATTTTTCTTTCTCAGAGTTGGATGTGAGGTATGGAAGACACTTTATGTAGCTTATTTTCTGCTACCTCAGATCTGCTCATTATTTTGCCTCTTTCCCTTCCCCAAATATAAGTCTCATTTCAAAGTTCAACTGTCATGCCAGATGCCTCAAGATGGTGCTATTGTTCCTGTCTCATACAAGTCACTTGGTGATACATATCCATATACCATATTATCTTGCTTGCCCCTAGTCTTCCCTGATGATTTGCCTATCAGATCCGCTCAGAAACCCTGCACACTCATCCTCCTTTTCACACTACTGGGGATCATTGAAGACAAAATATATTGATAGGCCATAGAGAGGCTGGGTCCTGTTGCCATAATATAGAAATCAGGTCTGCAGGACCCTTTATTTCCACCAAGAAGTGCTGCCTGAGGTGGGTGAGAGGACCAAAAAAAACCACAATTTTCAAAAAAATTTGGTCATAATAGGACCCCTGACACCCCTGCACCATGGGAATTTCCCAATGTATGTGTGGTCTAAAGTTGGCTGGCGGTCTTTCCCACGCAAAAATTATTTTGACCCCTGGACCGTGCTCAATACATTTCATTTTGGACCCTATACACTTGGGGAAAGACCATACAAACATGGCCGGACCACCTGAAAAGTACCCCCTAGGTGAAAACCTCTATAGGTATAATACAACCTAAGAGGTACCTGAAATGGGGTGACCAAAGTGTTTGCATCAGCATAGTAGGGAACACAATGAGAGTGAACAGACTTATTGCATCACTCAGTTGGAGCTGGACTCTTTTCCCATTGGGTAGGGGTAAGTTACAGGCCAGTAGGAAAACATTAAGGAAGGCATTAAGCTCAATACAGAAGTCAACAAAGCCTGTGTCAACATCCCGATGAGCTGTCTCAATCTGATCAAAAGTCAGCAAGCCTTGCATTGACTTCATTTTCACATGCATAGACCCATCCAAAGGACCAGCTCATCCATTGCGGGGTCATCAGCGTCAACATCCACTTCATCAGCTTGTGACATTGACCTCAAATAATTGGCCATGTCCTCGACACGATGACAAATGTTGTTTGAGACAAGTAGCCAGTGATCGATCCAAAGAATCTGTAGAGTATAACACACTTTAATAATAGAAATTTATAGAACTGTGTACCTCACCTGTTCTGCAAAGTTCTTAAAGTTGGTCCAGTGTTGATATGAGTTCTTCAATGGTCCATGCATTTGCTCATTCAGCTTGGTATTGTAGTTCTTTGTGACGCCTTTAGCCTCAATGTCATCGAAAATGTGCATGGTCAGGTGCAATTTCAGAAAGCTCCAGCCCTTTTCATTCTCTTCATCGGTTTCTGTGATATATTGCTATTTAAATTATGAAGTCAATCTATTATTGTAGTTGCTAAAACAAAATATCACAAGATGTACTTTCATAAGTACCATGAAGGCCTAGACAGCACTTCTGCCTTTATTGATGGTATTTGTGGTGTGAACCTCAAAAGTGGCATACATGTCAATTTCAAGATAAAGACGTACACATCGAAGTAGCAGGTAGCCAAGTGGGGAGTCTTGTTCTGTCAGAATGCCATGTGTAGCATATAGTATCAACTATGAACAAGATAGTTAGTATGAGACAACTGTGTGAATTAAATCACATACCTTTGAGATGTCTTTGTGCATGGAGTTGCCCACAAACAATACAACCATAACCTGGTTTGGATGCTTGAAATTCCACCAGTGTGGAAATCCTTTGAACCTTAGATATAATTGTCAGAGAAGGGTTACACATAGCCAAAAATAATGCGTCGACAGCAGATACTTTCGCTCTTCCAAGACTGACTACATATTTCTGCAGCTCAACCCACAAATGTTGTGACCAAAGACTACTGTTGTGCATGTGATCATGCGACAGCACTCGATGGACATCAGTGTATCCTACAGCCCATAATGAATTCTAGAAATACATTTTAGGCCTTCATAAGCACAACTTGAAGCAAAGACAAAAGCTTACATCAATGTCACACAGTCCATATCCTTTCAGAACCTCCTCCTTTTCCTCCATGGTGTCTTTTCCTCGTGCAGCTATTACAATTGCTTGCGACCAATCTGATGTTCGATGGGGATATGATTTAGAGGTGTCTCAAAGTTCATCGCAAGGAATGAGGCAGACGGAACATGGCCAAAGGCTCATGATCCCTTGAATAAGTGACATGATACACCTATAGTAATACATCATTAGCAGAAAAACTAAGTACTACAAGCAAAAAGATGCAGTGCTTAGGTACTTTGAAGGTTGATAGTCCATTAACTGGCTTGATGCAGTGCTTAGGATGCTAAAGATAAAAATAGTAAATGGTATAGCTGAATCGATAACTGGCTTGATGCAGTACTACGATGCTACTGAAAGAGGATTGTGAAGGTGTGCAATATGAATATGAACATATGGATCACAACAGTACACAATGAATCAGAGTAATATCTTGTAAACATTTCTTATTCTCAAAAATTAGAGGAGATCAAACTAAGCCTCTAACACAATCGAATCAACTGAAATACATGGCTTCAAAACTAACTTCTCTGCTGCTCAGGCACTCACAATGAGTATGACACAGAATCAGAACAGAGTACACCCTCTTGATATAGTCTTAAAGCAGCCAAGCTCTTAATATTGTTGAATAAAGTGCTAGTCTTATTTGTTGTCCTCCTAATCATTAAAAATACGTAAATTCTCCCTACAGAAAAGGTATCCTGTGTTATAAAGAGAATGTGATAAAACTACAACTAGACAACTGATAACTATGTACCAGCTAGTGTAATTCAAGGATTGGCTCAAGGTAGGCCTCAGAAGATCAGTATGTTGTGGGAAATGATGACAAAGGAATGGAGGGAATAAACTAATATTCGCTCAAATGTTCACACAAATATTGGGTGAGAAATTCAGGAAGATACTCAAATCCTCCTCCCTCTCTCTAAAAGGGGGATGTCTGTCCTCTCAAAGGAAGCTTATTTCAAAAGGGAGATTGTCATTATTCAGAGGGGAAACTGGGCCCCTCATATACTACTCTAAATGTGGCTGTGTAACTATCTAATTAAGGAAATATGACTTATAGTGACTCAAACTGAGTCATAGTTCAAATGTCCCATGATGACTTGTTCACTTCTCAAATATTCCCATCTATTAACTTTCTTCCTTCAGTTTCCTGACTAATCCATCTCATCTTACTAATCCATTTCATCTGACTAAGCCATTGATCACACATGAACTGTTGAAATGTTACCATAAATATGTTCCAGAACATACAGAAAAAAATGTGAAGAATTGTAAAAAGCAATCATAAGTTTGTGAGAAAATGCTGAGTAATGTGTTGTGGTATGTTTGGAACTTATCTTTAAACTGGATAAGTGTTAATTGAATCATTATGCAGTATTATGGGTTTGTTATGTCTGAAAATTACTCAAATCAAATCATAATGTGTTTATAGAAAATTCTTAGTAATTTCGTAGAGTAAAGCAGAGAACATCAAAGCTCAGAAGTAGCCATGACCATGCACAAAACAAGTTTGGTGTGTGTCAATGCCGTCGAGACAGTGATATCATTGTCCTGTTTGTGATTTGGAAGCTAATGAAGAGATAATTTGCGCAAATGAACTATGCCAAACAGCATTTCTGAAATTGACCCAACTAGACTTCCCTGCATAGTCTTTATCTTCTTTCACCTATCTAAACATTAGCATCAATTTAACAAGGGAGGGTCGTCAGGCCTTACAATTGGTAGCCATCCTACCATGTAGCCACTACCTATACATCATCCATTTCAAATGCGCATAAGCAAATTTGCTATTTGAGTGACAACTGGATAGCCCTTTGCAGTCCCAAATGACGACAGCTTCATTTTATCAGCATATAAGATGAAAGCAAGTGGCTTGCCACCTGATGGTAGTTGGGACTACAACAATCAAAATAAAGACAGGCCAAAACCGCTGGGTAATATCAATACATACTTGTATATCCCAGAAGTCCTGCACAGTGAACAGCTCATCTACAAAGTGGACAAAGGTTTCACCATCAAACTTCAATAAGTGCTGTGCATCAAATGTAAAGTGTGGAAATATGCTGGGATCCCGAAGTAGATCAGTAGTGAGCTCTCAGAGATCCTGGTAGTGTACATCAAAGTCCCACAATTTGCTGTTGTAAGGTATTGAAATCACTTCTTTTGTGAACTGCGCTTTGAATGAGGTTAGATTGTGGTGTCAATGGTGAAATTAAACAATCTTTGTAATGTGGTGAGATGCTGCTTCCTATTTGTTATGAATATCTTTGTGGTTCGAAAATGTAAACTTCTCCTTCCTGACAGTGCATTGTTGACAGATCTTGATGAGGCAATTGGTCTGCTTGTTGTTTAATCCGGCCTCGAGTGCAATCTCAGCAACTTCAAATTTGAGCCTAGATAGGAATGGATGCCAAGGCTGTTTGTCAGGTGGGGGACCACAGAGGGAGCTGGACGATGCTGGAATGTCTTGAATGAATGTACTGTAGTCTTAATGCCACTGTTTGGATGGTGTTTGACTTTAATGTCATCACATGCAAAGGCTGGGAATGTGTCTGTGTCTGCAGGTTCAGGTTCGATTACAGGGCCGTCATCTGTAATTCAACAATATTAATAACAATGGTGAGGTTGATGAAAACACCAGCAAGACTCACCAATTGGGCCACCATGATACAAGTCTGCATCAGGATCATGCATGAGATCAGAAAGTTCTCTCGTTTCAACTGAGAGAGCCAGTGAGCGTGACAAGCCACAAAAAATCTGTACTTTGTGCGGACCTATTGTTATTAATAGGCTGATTCAGGGATGTCCTTCATCCCTCGAGTGCTGCTGGATATTTTGATACAGTGTCAGCTTCTACACTGCAGCACAAAGTCCAAGAACTCTTGCCTTTCTCCTTTTGAAGAGCATCTACAAAAACCTGATCCTGATGTGTGTGAGGAATGATAGCTAGATGAGAAGGGGTGAAAGGGGGAGAAAGGGTGAAGTGGGGTAAAACTCAAATAGACCTCTGGACGCGAGTATAGATTCGGCCCAAGGGGATTGCTACTGAGAATGATTCCTCTAAATAAAATGTGAGGGGAAACTTTGGAAACTAGTAAGAGTAACTAAAAGTGGAAGGAGCATGAGAATTTGCGCCAATGCGATGCGAGCGTGAGCGAGCTGCCGAAAGTGCGTTACGATGCACGGCCGTATAGCCAAGGGTTTGATGAGGCGCAGAAGCACACGGCCGAGTCAAAGAATAAATGTGAAGGTTTTGCGAACGTGTAGGCAATGCTGCGCAGCAATGGAGCGAGGAGATAATTCAACAATAGAAACGGTAAGTGGGATGCGAACGTTAACACGGCCGTAAGAGATGTGCGTGCAGTAGTATGCCGGAGGTTTAGATTTATGGAATGTACAGGTCAGTGGGACAGGCATTATTGCAGAGAGTCGAGTCTGAGGTTGATCCATCCCAACCGCTAAGAACATACTGGAACCAAAGATAAAATGAACAGCATGCAGGACAATTTTGGCTAACAAAACCTTTTCAGTTTCATGAAAGCTGTCTTTCTGCCATGGATGGACAATGTTACGCACTCAAATAGATCTGTTAGGCGGAGCCCTAAGAGGGGCGTCGTCCGCTAACGTTCGTGACATAATCGGAAGGATCCGATATAGCAAGTGATACTGGCGACGACGAGTCGGCAGTGATCACAGTACGCGCGTGTCACGTGACTTCGTAGACGGATGTCTTTGAAGTCGCTCAAGGTAAGGACTGTCTTGTCCGTACGATGAGGTCGATCAAGGTAGACTTAGTCGCGATGAGCAACTAAGAAAAGATACTAGAGACTGAAGCCAAAGGGGCGTTCAGAGGGAAGTATGTTCCAGGGAAGATTGAGTAGATTCAAGTTAGAGAATCTAGTACAAGGTGACCGACTACTTATACTAAGTGGAGAGGGTTAAGGGCAAGGCTACCGCACAGTAGGTAAGGGTAAAGGGGAGACGAGAATGGTATAGGTGCGTTGGCAACAGAGCCAAATTAGTGGTGGGTGGTCGAATGTGGAATGAGACCGAGAAACGTTGGAACGGAGCCAACGGTAAGAATACAACGTGCGGGAATCCTGCAGTCAGGAGGAACAGAAAAGGGAAAGCCACATTGGTGGCACGAGTCAGACCGAGTCACAGGTGCGGGACCACATTGGTGGTCGAATCAAAGGAGGAACGTGCGTGCACGTGCATAGAGGCGGGCGATGCGAGGGACGGGAACGGTCCCGAGGATCCGGTCAACGGAAAGTCGGTAAAGGAGGACGAGCCGATAGATGGTGAGGGCGAGGATGAAGGGAAAATGATAGGGGGGCCACATGACCGATGTTACTTGTAACAGACAACATGCAATGTGTGTACAATCCATGGCTCCAAGTACCCCTTCAAAGTATGGAAAGAGTTTTGAATTCTGTTAAGACCATGCACAAAGGGTAGGACTGATTCCGAAGGGCTTGGCTTCAGCTCGTGCGCTGCGCCCCTTACCCAAGTATGTGCCCTTAATTGCAGATAACATCCGGAGGAAGTCCGTAGGACTTCCGAAGGAGCGCAGGAAAGTCCGGATCCAGATGAGTGCGAGAAACTTCCGGAGGGATGCGGGAAAGTTCTGGAGGAACTTCTGGAAATTACTATGAGGTTTCATCCTGGTACAGATATGTGTAATGGCTACTCAGGATGAATCCTAAGTAGAATGGAGACAGAGGACAGGCTGCAGGGACAAAGTCCGAAGCAGATTAGGTCCGGAGGACCATGGGAAAGTTCCGGAGGAACATCCGGAAACTCGGAGGAGCGGAGCTCCGGCCTAGGGAATTCCTCTCTAGGCCTGAGATGGATATTGACTAAGTCGGAGGACTAGAACTAGTATGAGGACTTAGTGTGAGGTCTAGTGCGAGGTCTAATATGTGTAATATTCAGACTAAGGAAATACAGGAGTTTCTACAGGGTTTATACACTATGGAGGACATAACAGAGAATCAGTCAGTGCAGTCCGAAGCTATGTGAGGCTGTGGACGGAGGATGTAGAAACATCTAACACTAGTCTATCAGAAAATAGTAAATGAAGACGGAAATGAGAACATAGGAAAATAAAGGCGGAAATGAAATGAGGTATGGAAAATGAGTATAGACTAACTCGAGAAGGAACATACAAAGGGAAAAGGTACGGAAGATAGATGCGGGTCGGATCCAGATGTCTGGAGATGTTCAGATATGAGGGCGTGATTGGTCTGGGTCCGGAAACAGGTAATTACCATAAGGGGATGAGCACTGATTTAAGGTTTGGGTTCGGATATGAAGCATAGGTCGGATCCAGAGATCCTGAGAAGTGGATATAAAATCAGGTGTCCGGATATCGGATCCAGATGCAAAGGTACAGGGATTCGGGTGTATAGACATCTGAACAGATCAAGGACATGGACAGGGGATCCAGAGGTCTGGATGAGGCATGGGAACATTGTTGGATGTAGGTCCAGAATATGGGATATGACAAATTCCCTGATATTTCTGCTAGAATAGGTGCATCATCTCATGGAAGATATACAAATTTGTTGTAAAAGGGAGCCAAAGACAGAGCAAGCAGGATTCTCTTGAAATATCTGATGACATGTGAGATAATGAATATCTTGCGATATGAACATACTTCTGTGTGGTTGTGTGTGAATGCTGAAAATGTTCTGCAATATGACAGCTTGAAAGCCCTGTCATGCATGTATATAGAAATATGGAAACTTGCTTGTCAAGCAGAATATATTTTGAATCCTGTAGCTCACAAGTCCAAAGCTCATGTATGAGGGCATAGAAAACATGCTTCCTCATTCCAAGCTCAGTCTTGATCTGGTCAGAATGTCCATTAGTGAGTTCTTGCACTCATGCATGTCCAGTGAGGAGTGAGGTATGGTAGGGCTATTTCTTAAGAAATGGTATCATGTAGGCAATTATAAGACCCATAACAAGTTGAGCAATCATTGCAGTAGCCATCTGTAGCATGTGGAAATACTAGATTTCATTAGCTGGAGGCATTTCAGCCTTGGTGTGATGTCATATAGTGTGTGATGCAGTGACCTTGTCATGGTTGTTTGTACATATTGTTACAAACAAAATAAACTATGAAACAAACAGCGAAATAAATGCAGCTATCCAGACTCTAAGAAATAACAGGGATAAATCATTTATCTGGTCATCTATGCTTATATAAGCTCAGGTGATTGTCTACCAGATACCAAAGTATGGAATCGAGCTAAAGCTTATAAACTATCTGGCAATAAGGTAGGAGTTGTGCAGGTTCTATATACCTTACATGACAAACATGATGAAAAAGTGACTAAACACACAAATTGCAATATTCATTAATCAGAAGCCTTTTGCATTAAACAGCTGCTCAATTACATTTAGGGATCTGCATGGGTAAACCTGTGGGTGTTCCAAGGTCATTCTGTACCTATACTTGCCATAGGTATAAGCCTGTAGATATGGTTATGAGTATGGATGCGGGTACATACCTGTAGCAGATATACCTGTAGGTGTGCAAGCACCAACAACATCACCAGCACCATCTGAATTACTATCTACTGCTCCCACCTGATCTCAACAGCCACCAGTGCTTAGCACACATGCCTGGCGCATGTCAGCAAATGCTGACATGGCTCAAACATATATGGAGGATACTGAAAAGCACCAGAAGAGTAGAAGGAGGGATAAGATAGGAAGAATGTGATTAGTGATCCGCTGGGCTTGGCTTAGCCTGAAAGCCATGGCTTGGGCCTAGCTTCAGAGAGCTCAGGCCTAGTGAAAATACAGGCCAGGTCTATCAAGAGGGCTTGGGCCTAGTCTGAGCTTGGCTTAGGCCTGACCTAAGGCCTGTTAATCAAAAATGCAAAAAGGTAAAAAATATATAAAGATTATCATTGAGTACTAGTTAGATACATCAGATAGCTCCAAATCCTAGGCAGTCTTCCCTTGAATACCAGAATCAACTTCCTCACTATCTCCTGGCTCTTCCAATGTTAGCTCAAAAACAGATAAAGGGGGAGGCCCACAAAACATAAGGTCACAATTGTACAATATGCATAAGACTTGGATGGCCTCCACAATATTACCCTTCAAGTAATTTCACCATTTGGTAATAATTAGTGAAGCAGCCGAAAAAGTGCACTCACTAGATACTGAAGTTGCCATGATAGACAAGTAGCCATGGGCAAGCAATACCCACACTAAATATTATTAAGCATTTAACTACAAGTTCAACTTAGTAGGCTGGCCTGTCCATCAAGCACTCACAGTTAGAGTCTGATTGGGACACTTACCAATGCTGGTTCATAGATAATCACCCTCACAAGGACAAAGAATGTCAGTTACTGCAGGCATTTTCTCATTTTCCTCCACCAAACATCCAAAAAACATTGATTAAGAAGATAGAAATTCCCTCTCATTTTTCCTATCAAAACATTGAAAAAAAGTAATTCATGTTTTAATGATGTTCTGTGTGTGGAACATGATGCAAAAATTGAACATGTTCCTTCAAAAATAATACTGTATTTTCTATTTATTATCATTGAAATAACAGCTTAAAATAATGTTAATGTTCTTCTCTGTGTTTTTCAAATATACTATGTTTTTCAAATGTTCTGTGTATATTTGAAAACACAGAAAAGAAAATTAATATTATTTAAGCTATTATTTCAAAGACAATAGATGGAAAATACAGCATTATCCTTGAAGGAACATGTCCAATTTTTGCATCATGTCCCACACACAGAACATCATTAAAACATGAATTACTTTTTTTCAATGTTTTCACAGGAAAAATGAGGGGAAATTTCTATCAATCAATGTTTTTTGGATGTTCAGTGGAGGAAAATGAGAAAATGCCTGCAGTGAGTGCCTCTTTCTGTGGTGTAGATTTTGCTAAATCAAGAGTCTCAGCTATTGTCGACTGGAAAGAATGTCAATGCAAAGATTATCATGCAATGGGTAAGGATAATGACCAGTGGAATATAATTCGCAACTATAGCATTACTGATGACAATACTAATTAATCACATGCTAAGACCATCTTGTTAATGAGGGAGGATATTACAAGAAAGGTACATCTACCTCATTTCCACATTCTATGTTATAACTAATGACTTAATATAGTCGTCTACTTATTCTCACCTTGAAGAAGTGGAAGCCATTGGCTGCATATTTGATATGACACAAGATGAGGCTGCTCGACAGGCATCCAACTTTGTCATGGACTCTAACCTCATAGTTAAGTTGATTAATGAGCATCAACTGGATGCTCATGCTATTTTAGATTGGGTCATGACCACAATGAAGTATGTCTTCTTCTTTTGGACTTCTGTTACCTCCCTGACATATTCACAGGGCAAAAGGCTATAATATATCTGTGCCATAGTTTATAGAGGGAGTAGGGGCTTATGAAATTCTACTTTCAAAGCTGAATGAGGCTCCTGTGACCATTACAGGAGGATGTGGCCAATTATGGTACTGGAGAAAACTTGTGAGTACTCAAGCTTGTTTATATTCAACAATTAACTAGAGTCTGCTTAAATAGCAAAGTTTGGGCATTGACCCAAAGAAGTCTAGTGGCAGAAGCTTCTTGACTATGCTTTCCAGTATAAGTTTATGATCAAGAAGTGGCCTGATGTTGTTCCCCTTATTGATCCCAAATTAAACCCTCACAACCTGAGTTCACAACATTTCAAGCTGCTCATCATCCCTTTCATCAAGTGCAAAGCACATTCCTATAATAAGGCAGAACTCCAGACCAAAGCCGATAACTTATTGGAGATAAAGAAAAAGAAGTCTAAGGGTAAGCACTGAGCTCAGGAGCACACTATGGAAGACATTGTAGGACTGGAAGTCCTTACAGCCTTGTCGAGGCTATTTTTGTGGTATCCCTCAGCACCCTATTACTTTCCTACATGAAGTGCAGCTTTCCTGTGAGTCACGCATAGCGGTGTGTGTGAGGAATGATAGCTAGATGAGAAGAGGTGAAAGGGGGTGAAAGGGTGAAGTGGGGTAAAAACTCAAATAGACCTCTGGACACGAGTATAGATTCGGCCCAAGGGGATTGCTACTGAGAACGATTCCTCTAAGTAAAATATGGAGGGGAAACTTAGAAACTAGTAAGGGTAAATGAGAATGGAAGAGCGCGCGACGTTGCGCTGATGCGATGCGAGTGCGAGCGAACCGCCGAAGGTGTGATATGATATGTGACCGAGCAGCCGAAAATTTGACTGTGCGCGAAAGTGTGGAGAAAAGCCGATGGTTTATATGAACACGCCTTTAGCGGTTATGTGAAGGAGATGCAATGCGACAATAAAGCGGGAGGAGAGTTATGATGATAAGTGCGATGAGCGATGCGTGAATGTTTTTAGTGTGACCGTTAATACAGCGCGCGATGTAGTCGGCCGAAGGTTTTTAGACTTAGGGTCAGAGTGTTGCATGCAAATGGATGAAAATTTTGGTAGCAGGAAAAGAGAAGATACATGAAAAATCATAAGTCTAAGGTATATATGATAGCGCGTGTAGTGCTGTTCGGAACTGAGAAGATAGTGGTAATATGTATCAAGGGTCCATAGCACAAGTAATGAAACATAAGCGATATCACCTTCAGAAATATAATCAGTCTAACGCGAATGAGATAAAATATGCACCAATGGACAAGCGGAGGACATGGATAGGACGGAGGAAGGATGCGCGACGTAGTAGTGATAGCATGCGCTGCACTAAGACCTGAGGAACACTGCAAAAATAACCTCTACGAGGCTACAAGGACTACAAGTCCTACAGCGGCTGCTACTTTCCCGCAACAGCCGCAATGTTCCTGCGCGTGCGCACAGCCGCGCTTAGCAGCCGCTTTTCTCGCGCTTCATCGGCCAATGTTCCACACCCATCCAAAAACCAACCCAATGGTATGTTATTTCATGATTATATTTACATATCAGACCATTTTTGCATCAGACCACCTTTATTACATATAGCTTTACATACATAGCTTGGTAGCATGTCGGCTCGGTTCCGTGTGACAGCGCTTAGCACAATACTTAAGCACTAGCAGTACATATCATTCAGTAGATTGTTTTCCGGATGTTCCAGTAGCAAACTCCCATTAGCCTACAGTTGGTAGCTATTGGCAATCAGTATCTGTTTACCGCTTGCATCGTATCCGTTATTGCCTCGCTCTACATCTATTCCTATTGTCCTTCATCTCTATTATCATCCGAAACCCTTGCGCATTGGCCGCTTCGCAGCCACACGCGCACACCCGACGCTTTCCCGCGCTTCGCATCGGCCGACAAGCGGCACCTTCTGCGTCCATTTCTAGACCTTTGCTGCACTAGCTTCCCCTTTAGGGTCGAATGCACTTGTTCCACAAGTATAGCAGATAGGCAGTGCACGACCTACAACATGAAGATATTAGTTTGGAGCCTATAGCACCACTCTGAGTTGTAAACTTACAACGTCATGAGTGAATTAGATGTTAATGTGCCTGAAATTGAGTTCACAGCTTGGCTAGATGGTATGTAGTCTCCATGTTGTCATTATACCTTATTTTTCTGATATTACTCATGTAAGAATGTCTCAAGCAGCTCAAGGACGAGGTACCAAAGATGTGGTACTGTGCAAGCTGGTCAACTCCGCAAAATTCAAAATGTCTATTTCCAAAGATACTTAGCAGTTCATGAAGCACATTCAGATGGTCTCATTCCCTCTACTTAAGAAATGCCACCAAGTGACCATGAATCTCCTTCTGTCACTTTGAGCCCCCTGACCTTGCCATCAAATTAACATCACGCTACAAATACCATGCCAGTACATCACTGAGAGAGAAGTTATTCTACTCAGGTGTCAGATCTCTTTGATTGTGAACCCCACCCTGTTCTGCCTACAATGAGAGAAGAACCTGCCAGTGGTGGAAGACAACAAACTAGCCTCCCATTTAAGGCACAGAAAATTTTGCAGATAAATACAGCATAACTCCGTTTTCCATAAAAGACTTGAATTACAGAACAGGTAACTCATATCTAAAGCTATCACTTGACATCTTACATCTTTTTCCTGTAGTATTACACTTGTATATAACATTACCTACTAAGTCATCAAGTGCACAACCTCATAGAGGCTTTTTGTTAATACTGACTAGATAGTGACTCTGTCATATCCCGCGTTCTGGACCTGGACCAATCATGCAATCATCTCTGGACTTCTGGATCCAGTTAGCTCCTATCTTCCGTGCCTTTTCCCTTTAGTATTTCCCTTATCAGTTAGTATGCTTTATTTTCCGTCCCTTATTCATTTCTGTCTTCATTTTACTAAGTTCTGATAGACTAGTGTTCGTTCCACATGCTCCATCCATAGCCTCGCACTGCACTAACTGATTCTCCGTTATGTCCTTCATAGTATATAAACCCTGTAAAGTCTCTGTATTTCCTCAGTTCAAATATTATCTTAGATTCTGCTCATTCCCTCCTCCATTCAACTTGAGTCTCTTCTCGTCGTCTCCAACAGTCTTAGGATTGACTCCTATTGACTTACCACCTCCGCCTCTACCTTAGGTAGTCCTCTGCTGTTTCCTTTCTAGTTCGGACATCGTCCAGATTAGTCTTATCACTTGTTCCCGAACATCCGCCGGAATTCCTGCGCATCGGACTCCAGACTCCGGACATCATCCTTTAGCCCTCGGAAGTTAGGGGCACATACTCAGGTAAGGGGCACAGCACACGAGCTGAAGCCAAGCCCTTCGGATCTGAACCCTTCAGCACATTCTTAACAGACTCAAGCAAGTATTGTATTATCTATCTCAATGTGTATATAATATATAAGCTATTAGTATAATAGTTCTTGCTAAAAATCTATTGTAAACTTAAGACTGGCCTGATAGGATGGGTGTTTAGGAATTTGGCTTCTATCTAAGCAACCTCAGCATAGGTACTATTGAACCAATTTTAGTATTATCAGATTTTTCATTCAATAAGAATCTTGATGCTCTTCTTTCTACCTTCTGTTCCTAGGAAACTAATTTGTCTACTACCAGCAATCTAGCAAGTATATATTTACATCTGCATGTGCAGTGCTATGTAATATGATAACTTAAGTCATACTTGTTGATATTGCAAGGGGAGCAGTATGGATCTAATAAGCTATTGATCCTTTGGTTGGCTACTTGCTACTTGTCTTTACTATTAGTGAGTTAGGATTTCTCCTTTTACTTATTATTTCACCATTGGGTCAATTTCCTATATGTGAGCCTTATGCCCTTACTGTATGGCAAGCAGAAGTGATCCGCTTTTTAAACACGTTTGTCTGACATATTATTTTGCCAAACCTACAACCACTGACAGATAATAAAACTTTACATAATACATAATGCATATATATGAACTAATGTATGAATTATGTTGTGATAATAATGAAACTGATCTCAAACAATGATATATATTTGAGGAGGTGTATCTCATTGAACATTTTTAGCATAAAGAATATCTTATGTGAGAAGTAAAAGAAATATATTTTCTTGCTATTTGTACTATTGGTGGGCAATGATTTCATCAGTAACATAGGTTAGATGCTCAATTAGCATGATTATATTTGCTACCCAGCCTCTATCTCAGTAATCCATTTGTAATACACTGTCATATCTGTTACGCTGACCATCGGTCGGCATGTGCGAACTTGGATGGGTCTTCTTAGCGACGGCTCGAGTGAGCCCACCGAGGCTAAGGGTGTTCGGCGACTTGACAGAATGTCAAGGGTTCCTCCGGTTATCTCGGTAAGATGGCGCTGGTCGAGATACAGAGCTAGCGGATACGGCTAAGCGTGGGGAGCGACTTAGAAGTGCAGTCTAGACAACTAAGCTGGGAGGCTTAGTTGAACAAGTTTCAAGGTAGAACCAAGTAGATTAAAGTAAAGTCTAAGTGCAATAATCTGTCTACTTATATATGTCAATATACAAGCGTTCAAGCTCAGTCTGTATCTAATAGTATATCTGGGATCTATGATAAGAGACCGTGAGGTCAACCATGAGGACAGATAAGATACATGAGGTATAACCTCTGATCAAGCATGCAGCGCCAAGTGCGACTGCGCATCTACATGAGGCGCCAGGAGGCGCTTCCAGATCTTCATGAAGCGGCATGCGGTATACATGTGCTGATCTAGGGTGACCGTGAGGCGCACAGCCTCCATGGGTCAGGTACAAGGCCGTCTAGGCCAGGGGCGGTGTCACAGCGGTCCAGACCACTGTCTTTCTAAGTGCAGGCGGCGCACTGCCACGTTGGGAGTCTAGCAGAGCGGGGGCTGGTGTAGGTGTTACGGATGACTGTAACAATATCCTATGTTCTGGACTTAGGCCTATTATACAATCTTCTCCGGATCTGATCAGTTTCCCTTTTCAGTGTTTTTCCTTTTCGTACATCCCCTTTTAGTCAGCCCCTGTGTCTGATTATCTGGTGATGTTTATATCTGACTGTACTTACTTATCTGGACATTGTTTATTTCCAACTTTATTTTATGATGTTTTATTACAGTATTGATAAGCTTTCTATATGCTTTGTATATAGCCTCACACTGTATTGATTGATCTTCTGTTATGTCTCTTGTAGCATATAAGCCCTGTAAAGTCTC